AACACCCAATATTGCTGCAGTAACATCTCTCTTCATCAGGTCCCCAGGCTGAGCCTGGATGGGACTCACAGGGTACAAAGTCTGGCTTAAATCCAGGATGTTCATGAAAAACAAACAAAATCCCCCATCTTTAAGCATTTTTTTTTTTTTTAAGCTGAGAAATCCCACCAGCCCACACAATCTGCTGATGAAAACACAGGAAGGGCAGGAGGGTTGGGGGGTCTCCCCCAAGACCCAAGAATTCACAAACACCGAAATTACACCAGGGGGGTGGAGGAACCTTCTTGTGGAAGGTGTCCCTGCCCAGGGCAGGGGGTGGAACAAGATGATCTTTGAGGTCCCTTCCAACCCAAACCCTTGTGGGACTCTGTGATTCAGGCCCCTGTGTCCCTCTTAGTGAGGATCAACACATCAACACACCCCAGGAGGAGAAGCTCTCCTAGATGTGGATGAGGAATCTCCAGACACTCACAGAACAAATGAGGTGTGGTGGAAAATAAACATAAAACGTGAAAGTTTCAAAGGAAACGTGAAAAGTGGGAATAGGAGGGACCCTGAGGGATCCATGTGGTCCAGCTGCCCCCCTTGAAGGACAACAGCTCACCCAAACCAGCCCAGAAGGGTGACAGTAAATCCGATCTAATGTCCCTGGTTGGCACCTCTGCACCTCTCCAAAAGCCCCTTGTGCCTGAAAGAAGCCCTTGTGCTGCATTTCCTGGGGAACCTTAATTATTTTGTTGCTAATGGGTCTTTGTGTTACCTCCCAGAAGGTGCCCCCACTTGGGTTTGGTGCCCTCTGAGTGCTGGAAGGAGGTTGGAAGGAGTTACACCAGGAATTGTGAATACTGAGGCAGGATAATGGAAGGCAGAGTGGCCTTCTCCGTGTGGCTGTTTTTCAGGAAATGAATGTTAACCTGACTGGTTCTCTGCCCTTTTCCACCCCTCCTGTGGCAGGTCCTGGGGTTACCTCCCTCCACGCTGCTTTTCATTCCCATTTATCTGCTGTTTATCCTCCAAGATCTCTGCCAGCAGCCCCAGGGCTGCTCCTGCCCCTCTCCAAGTGCTCCCAGGGAAATTGTCACTCTGCTCTTACCCTGCCCTGCTCGTTTAAAACCATCTGTTTCGCTACCTTTGTATTTTTTCCCCTTTTTCCTCTGATTTCTTACTTGGCTGCTGATGTCTGTTAGGCCACTCCAGGAAAAATAATTTATAACTGAAAAATAAAACCTGCCATTCCTGGTCACACCATCCATCACTCTCTGTGCTCCCCCAGCATTTGGATACCAGGGCAGCTCGTACATCAATCTGTGCTCTCTGAATGCAAATCACCTCCTGCCTTCCCATCCCTCACTCCTTTGCTTCCCATGCTCTTGCTGCTTCTCTCTGGAAACCATCACTCCTGTTTTCTCCTCGTGCCAGGGACCACTGCAAAGGTGGGGATTTATGCTGGTACTTTCTAGTGCTCTTCTTGGTCGGTCACTCCATTGGTGGGGTTTGGGGAAAAAAATTGCTGTTTTGATCCCACCTGTAACAAACTGAACGACTTCCTGAACTGTGTCCTCCCAGGCACTGCCTTGGTGTGATCAGAGAATCCTGGAATGGTTTTGGGTGGAACATCCAGTGCCATGGGCAGGGACACCTTCCACCAGCCCAGGTTGCTCCAAGCCCCGTCCAGCCTGGCCTTGGACACTCCCAGGGATCCAGGGGCAACGAGGCATCTCCAGCTCAGTTTTCCCAAGCCCACCCTGCTGAGGTCAAGTGCTTCCAGTTATAAAAAGCAGACAAAGAAGAGCAAATAAAAGCCCAAGGGAATGAAGGTCTTTGGCAGTGGAGGTGCTGCTGGGTGGCACTGGCTCTGTCCTTGGAACAGCCCCCATGGACACCCCGGGAAATGCAACATTCCTGCATGAGCCCTGGGCAGTGTCAGAGACCCCAGTGGGGAGGAAGGTTTTCGGGACAGGGCTGAGACCAAACAGTTTCTCTTCATCTCACCTGCAGAGTTCTGCCTCTCTGCTCACAGTGCCCCCCTCCAGCTCTCCCTCCTGTCCTGCTCCATCCCTCATTTCTGTCACAGGAATCAGCTCCAGGGGTTCCCTTTCCCTGTCCCCTACCTGGGGCAGGCAGGGCAAACCTCACAACCCCCTGTTTCTGAGCCTAAGCCCTGCTCAGTCCTGGGATACCTTCAGCTTCTGCAGGCAATATACTAAATTTAGAGAGATTAGATTAAATGTAACATATTAAACCTAGAGAGGGAAAGGAAAAACTCCTTCTCTGTTTCATGTAAATGCAAGGAATTGGTGACCGGCTGTGACAGAGGCTGCATCACGAGCAGCATTTAAAAACAAAAACAGTGAGCCAGAAAAGCTTCTGGAAACATCTGCTTTTGATCTAAAACCCCCTGAAAATACTTGAAGTACCACAAAGCTCTGCAGGCTGGGCTTGGCCTGAGCGGGGCACCCCTGGCACTGCCCCAATCCTGCCACGGGCAGACAAAGGTTATCGGGGACACCCTCCTGCTGAGCCACGAGGGGCTGAAAGGACCCCCAGGACCCCTCACAGACCCTCCAACCCCCCCTGGGACCCCCTGGCTTCCCAAACTCCTTCCCATGGAGGAGTCTGGGTGCTGCTGCATCCGACCCCAGCCCAAGGCTCGGTCAGTGGTTCACGTCCAAAGGGTGGTGCAGCTCTGATTGAACCTTTGTACAGCTTTGTCTCACAGGATTAAGGATGGCTAACCAGATAGATGTGTGTAAATAAATTATTTATCATGATTAGAGTGAAAGATCTCAATCAGAATTATTTACTACACAATAATAATAATAAATAAATATATAGCAGCTACAACTCCTGTATAGTGCACTATTTTTAAGCAATATTGGAGCAACTATAACAAAGTTAACAAACCAGTTATTAAGCAGAGATTGATATCACTCACCCAGAGCAACAACCATGGGCAAATCTCTTTGGCTCAGCCTCGAGGGGTGACCCTGAGGGGTGTCCTTAGAAGGTGCTCTGAGAAAGGGGATGTCAGAAGACCCTCTCATTAAAACTGGGTCTGAGCTTCTCTAGGATAAAGCCCTGGGCTGTCAGTCAGGTGTCTCTGGGCTGTGCCAGCTCAGCAGCTTTAGATGAGGTGTCAGTGGAATCACCTGTGGGTTCCTCTCTCAGGTTCTTCACCAGCCCTGTCACACCTTCACCCCAGGCTGGTTGGATTTTGGGACTGAGGAGTCAGGCTGGTGTCAGCTTTACCCAACCCCAAAAGCAGTGACTCTCCTTTTCCATCCACCACCGACAGCTTTGCAAGCAGGGCAGTGTTTGAGGTGTTTTCCCCCACTCAGGCAGAGCCTCCTACTCTGCTCCACTCCCCCCTTTCTTTCAGAAGCTGCTGAGGTTCTGCTGGAGGTTTGTTTCTGCTTCAGAGGAAGGAAAACCCCAAATAAGCACAGCAGCACGGAGCTGCTCACAGGGCTGGAGCCCCTCTGCTCTGGAGCCAGGCTGGGAGAGCTGGGGGGGTTCACCTGGAGAAGAGAAGGCGCCAGGGAGAGCTGAGAGCCCCTTGCAGGGCCTGAAGGGGCTCCAGGAGAGCTGGAGAGGGACTGGGGACAAGGGATGGAGGGACAGGACACAGGGAATGGCTTCCCACTGCCAGAGGGCAGGGATAGGTGGGTTCTTCCCTGTGAGGGTGGGGAGGTTGCCCAGAGAAGCTGTGGCTGCCCCTGGATCCCTGGAAGTGTCCAAGGCCAGGTTGGACAGGGCTTGGAGCAACCTGGGCCGGTGGAAGGTGTCCCTGCCCATGGCAGGGGGTGGCACTGGATGGGCTTTGACATCTCTTCCAACCCAAACCATTTGTTATTTTATGACCTTTCCTACCCCCCCCAGGACAAGCTCCTGCATTCACAGATCCCACACCCCCCACCACCCAGACCTGACCCCTTCCTCCCCCCCGGGGCACTGCCCTCTTCTCAGCAGAATTTCCCATCAGTACCTGCCCCCTCCTCAGCAGAATTTCACATCAGGACAGCGAGGCTGGTCCAGAGCACAACTTTATTACCAACCCCACCCTTCAGGGAGTCCCCACAGCCCAAAGAACCACTGACAGCAGAGCTCAGCCAGCCCAGCACAGCCATGGGGTGGGAGCAGATGTGCAGGAGCTCCTACATCAGGGCAGAGATTTTGGTTTGCCCTTCCCAGGATGGCAAGGAAATCCCTGCCCTGGTCAGCTGGGAGCTGCTCCCACTGAGCACTCGCTGGGGTGTGTGACCAGCTGGGACAGACAGACCCAGGTTACCTGTGCCAGCTCCTCTTGCAGGGCAGCTGGAGCAGTCCAGGCCATGTCCCTTTAGGAAACAGTCCCAGGGACCCCCATCCATGGGATCCACAGCCTGTGCAGGGCCAGGGGCAGCAGGACCAGGACAGACCACGGCAGAGCAAGCACAGCTTGGTCACTCTCAGGAGCCACGTCCTCCACCCCAGCAGGGGAGGATCTCTTTTTCCAGGAGTAGAACTTGGCCACAGCCACGTTGGGGTTCCCCTGGGCGGGGTCAAACCACATCTGGATGCAGCGGCCGCTGCCCCTGCGAGCTGTGCTGTATCTGTAGGAGTGGGACCAGATCTTCTCACACAGGTCCTTGGGCCGGGGGAACACCTCACTGAAGGGTCTGCACATGGAGCCCCAGGGACAGCGGTTCCTGCCTGGGGACAGAGCACCACGGGGGGAGAGGTGAGCACTGGGACAGCCCTCCCCTGGTGCCCTTCCCCTGCCCACGGCCCCTCGCCACACCGGGGCTGAGGGGGTGGCTTGGCCACCTTCTCCTTGGCAACCCTGGAACATGAGGGGGATTTGGGGTCCTGGCAGCAGTGACCCTGCCAGTGACCCCCCTGGGGGAGCGAGGGGAGGCTCCCCACAGCCCCACCAACCTGTTGCCCAGTTCCAGCCCTTGTGCCAGTTCTCCTTGCAGGTGACGGCGTCCCTGCAGTCCTCCCACCACTGCTCACAGTCCTCCTGGCACAGGGGCACGTGCAGGATCCTCTCCCGACGCCAGCTGCTGTCAGCCTGCGAGGGGACAGGGCCAGGCACGCTGGGGAGGGGGCCTGAAAGTTAAGGGCAGGATCTGCCCCGTCCCAGATCCCCCCCAGCCCTTCCCACTGGGCTCCAGAACCGATCTCAGGAGTGTTTCAGCCCCTACAGAGATGTGCCTTGACAGAAGCTCTTCCATCAGTCAGACAGGCCTAAGCAGTGGCCAGAAAAGTCCTTGGAATCTTTCCACCCAGTAGGAAAGGTTGGGACAGCCTAGGTTTTTGGAAGGAATCCTTCCCTGGGAGGGTGGGGAGGCCCTGGCCCAGGTTGCCCAGAGAAGCTGTGGCTGCCCCTGGATCCCTGGAAGTGTCCAAGGCCAGGTTGGACGGGGCTTGGAGCAACCTGGGCTGGTGGAAGGTGTCCCTGCCCATGGCAGGGGTGGGACTGGGTGGGCTTTGAGGTCCCTTCCAACCCAAACAGTTCCATGAGTCCATGATCTGATCATACCTGGTCAATCCAGGGCCCCAGGTTGGGGGAACACTCGTACAAACACGTGTCCTGGATGAAGTGGCGCTTGCACTGGGCTGGCATCACCCCACAGTGGTTCCAGTTGAAGTTGTACAGGTTGGATTGGTCCTTGTGTGCCTCTGAGCTGGTGTTGGCCGTGCAGCAGGCATTGTCCTTCCAGGGAGAGCACTGGGACAGAGCAAGGGACAGGCTGTCGGGGAGGGCAGGAGCTCCAGGGGCAGAGGATGCTGCGAGTGCTGGTTCCCTGCAGAGCCCCCAACAAGGAGCCTCCAGCAGCCAGAGGATTTTCTGTCCTCCAGCAAACCCTTGGGCACTTTGGACTGAGGTGTTCTGGGCTGAAGCCCTGGAGGAAGAGCAGGAGGTGGGGGTCAGGAATTAGTCCCACCCTGAGGAACAGGAGCGAACCCCTTCTCCTGCACCCTGACTTGCTCTCGGCCCCAACTCTGCCGAGGGCCTGGGGCAGAGCAAGGAGAGTCTCCAACACCAAGAGGGAGCAGAGGAGAGTCTTCCCTTTCCGTCCTTTCCCTGGCTCTGCTCTGGGGTGCCCGAGCTTTGGGAAGGGGAGATGTCCTGGTTAAAGAGGGGTGACACTGAGCTGACAGCTCCTCACACCTCTGCCCCTGCCCTGGGCGTTTGCTGGAAGAAGGCAGCAAACAAACAGGTCTCACACCCAGTGTGAGCTTTCTCCCTCGGGCAAGGAGCAGCCGAGCCCAAGGCAGCCCCCGATATCTGGGGAGGTGGGTGCAGGGGGGCCCGGACAGCCCCACACAGCCCCACACAGCCCCACACAGCCCCACACAGCCCCCAGCAGCTCGTACCTGGTCGTGCAGCTTCCCCTCGGGGCCGGGCTCGCTCTTGTGGTGCTTGGCGTCCATGCAGACGTTCAGCAGCGGGTCCCTCGCCGGCAGCACCGCCCGGGCTGCCAACAGCACCCACAGCACCCACAGCATCGGCACCACCCGCCCCGCTGCCATGGCACTGCCAGCACGGGGCACCGGGACGGGGACGGCTCGGGAGGGGCTGCGGGGACAGGGACAGCTCGGGAGGGGTTGGACACGGAGCTGTGGGGACAGGGACACTCGGGAAGGGCTGTGGGGACAGGGACAGTTCGGAGGGGGCTGCGGGGACAGCGGGGACAGGGACAGTTCAGGAGGAGCTGCGGGGACAGGGACAGCTCGGGAGGGACCGGGCACGGGGTTGTGGGGACAGGGACACTCGGGAGGGGCTGCGGGGACGGGGACACTCGGGAAGGACTGGATACGGAGCTGTGGGGACAGGGACACTCGGGAGGGGCTGTGGGGACAGGGAGAGTTCGGAGGGGGCTGTGGGGACAGGGACAGCTCGGGAGGGGTTGGACACGGGGCTGTGGGGACAGGGCACAGCTCGGGAGGGGCTGTGGGGACAGGGACACTCGGGAGGTGCTGCGGGGGCCGGGCACTGCCGGGATGTGCCAGCGGCTCACGGGCCCAAGGACACGAGCGCAGCCTCCCCCCGGGCAGGGCTCCAAGGTCAGACTCGTTATCATCGGGACCAGGTCGGGAAGGACACCCTGGGAATGCTCCACACCCCCGAGGGGAGCGGGGGTCCCGTGTGAGACCCGCTCAGACCGGGGTCCTTTGCCACCCCATTGCTCCAGAGGGAGCTGCCAGACCCCAAACCCTCTGAACCAAGACAGGGGTGGTTCAGGGGTCCCTAGAGAGGGGGCAGAGGGGGCAGGTAAATGCACGGACACCTTGGGGGGACCATGAGCTGCAGGAGCCCCACCTCGTGCTCAGGAGTATGGCAAGACAGGAAAGCTCTTTTTTTGTTTTATCTGCGTCTGGGACCTTGGAGACCCTCACCTGAGGGGAGGGTCCCCTCTCCAGGGGAGACCTGAACCATCACAGAATCCCACAATGGTTTGGGATGGAAGGGATCTTAAAGCTCAGCTCATTCCACCCCCTGCCATGGGCAGGGACACCTTCCACCAGCCCAGGTTGCTCCAAGACCCATCCAACCTGGCCTGACTTGAGCAATAACAGACATTTCACAGCATCATGCCTTGGCCTCCTCTGCCTGCCTGGGAGAAATTTTATCGTAATTTACTAAAAAAAACCCCCAAAACAACCAAAAAACCCAAACGGCCAACAACAAGACCCAAACAAGCAAATTCCCTGCCATTCCTCATCAATACAGCACAAGGGTCTAAACCAGCTGCCTTTTAGGAGGGATTTTGCAAAACACAGGAGCAAGACAAAGCCTTTACAGCACTAAAATAGCACAAAAGCCCCCAGAAGAAGCAGTTGCAGACCTGAGGAAGCAGACACAGAAATCTGAGAACTGGGAAGTACCCGCCTTGTGTCGTAACTACACTCATATATGTAAAACCAAAAAAGTCTCCCTTCAAAAAAAAATAATTAAAAAATCAACCTTACCAGCCCTGAGAGCCTCTAAACCTACTGCAACACCTTAAAAACACTCAGCTCAGCAGCTTCCTGGGGGCAGCTTTAACAGGAAGGCTCCTGGTAGCTCCTGGGAGGAACTTCTGCCCATGTTTAGGGAGGTTTCACTCGTGCCAGACTTTGTTTCTGCAGAGGTCACGTTTTGTTGTTTTGTTATAACCAGCTCATCTGGCCTCTTTCCCCAGCAGAACCTCTTCCCTGGGAGACACTTGGGTGTTTGGTTCCAAGAGCAGGTCCCTGCTCAGCCTTGGCCCTTCAAAACAAACCCCATTTCCTCTGCTGGCCCCACACCAGGCAGCAGAGCCAGGCAGGGACTGACCCAGGGTTTGCAATAAATGATGGAATAAACTCAAAAGGCAGCAAATGACGTGCAGGAATAATGCTGCTGCCTCAGAAGGAGGAATAACAGCAATCCCCAACACAAACCAGAAGTGCAGGTGCTGAGGGGAGCAATGCAGACCCTTGTAGTGCCTGAGCACAGCCATTGCTGCCAAAAGCTCCTCCAGAGCCCAGGAAAGCCCTGACTCTCAGCACGGGCTCGGAGTCTCCTCCCAGGGCAGCTTTGGGGCTGTTTTGTTGTTCTCATCACACATTGCTGATGTTTTGGTGATGAACCACTTGCCTGGGGAACAAATCTCCCTAAATTTCATGTGTGAGCACTTTAGGCTCTGGGAGAACCCGCTCTAGTGATCACAGAATCCCAGGATCACTGGGGCTGGAAAAGCCCTCCCAGCCCATGGATCCCCCCTGTGCCCCATCCCCACCTTGTCCCCCAGCCCAGAGCACTGAGTGCCACGGCCAGGCCTTCCTGGGACACCTCCAGGGCTGGGCACTCCAAACCTCCCTGGGCAGCCCCTGCCAAGGCCTCACCACCCTTTCCAGCAGGAAATTCCTCCTCCTGGCCAACCTGAGCCTCCCCTGGCACAGCCTGAGGCCGTTCCCTCTCCTCCTGTCCCTTGTTCCCTGGGAGCAGAGCCCGACACCCCCCGGCTCCCCCCTCCTGTCAGGCAGAAAAGAACCTCGTGCTTCTCCCCCTCACCCTGGAGCTGTCCCTGAGCAGATCTTCCCCTCTCCCCTTTGCCCCTTCCCCTCCTCTGCTCCCCTCTCCCCCCACATGAGTGTTTCCCCCGAGGACCGGGGTGGTCTCAGATGCCCTGAGCTGTCCTGGCTCTTTCCTGCTCCTCGCCTGGGAATTTCTAATATCTGGTTTGTTTTTGGCACTGCTGATCACTGAACTGTGTTGTAACACTGTCAGAGCAGTGACAGCTTGTTCCTGAGAGAGAATTTTCAGCCACCAGCCTGTCATCCTTCGTCTGACGTGCCCCGTGCTCTCCCCAGCATCTCTGCCTGCTCATCTCAGCTGCTTTGGCAGCAAAACCTCCTGCTTTGTTGTTCAGTGACTCAGTCCTACCAGGTGTCACATCCCACTCCCACATGGAAGAGTCGCAGATGCCCGTGGTTAAACAAGGATGGCAAAAGCCAGAAGGGTCCAAAAAACAAAGCTCTCGATGTTTAATTGGCCAACTGCACCCTCCGGGTGGAAATTGGGGCATGTTTTGCCCCCTCTTTCTGATGGTGAAAGAAACAGGAGAGTAAAAAGAAAGAGGGAAGAAGGAGAGTGTGAAGGAGAGCTCGGATAGGAGTGTGTGGATTCAGCCCTCTGTCCCATTCCCTGTGACCTGGTCCCACACAGACACCGTGTTTGGGGTTGTGTAGATCCCCCCATCTCCCCAAAAAGCCTCTCGGGGTGTTCCATGGGATCCTGCAGGGAGGGCTCAGTGCTGCTGGGGATGGCAGATCCCACCAGGGAGGGCTGAGGGGTCCCACGTGGCTCCCACTGCCACAAGGGCCACGGGGGTTGTTATGATCAGAGTCATTAACGAGCAGAAAAGCAAAGGCACCGTGTGTATAAAGGCAAGAATTAATTGTTGGTGTCACTGGCAGCAGCCAACACAAAAGCCAGTGTGAGGCCAGAGCCAGTTACTGCAGAAAAAAGAGCTAAATTAATATTTCTCTACAGAAAAAAAAGTAGTAATAATAATAATAAATTAAGATTGTGACACACACTCTTCCCAATTTCTCCCCCTTTCCCTGCTCCTTGGGGTCCTGAGCTTGGTGACTTTGTTTGGTGGTGGATGATACACAGAGCCACAAAAACCTGGAGTCCTTCACATGGAGCCATCATGTTGGTGTTTGTGGCTTCTTCTGCCTCCCTCGGGGCCCACTTTGTGTCTGTTTTACCTTTGATAATGTGCTTCTACACCTTGCTTTCCTTTCCTGCTCTGCAAGCCCACAACACCGACATTGCCCAGATCTGATGCATTTTTTCATGTCAGATGCTTGTTCTTTGCTCTCTTTGCCACCCCCAAGGCATTTTTGCCCCACTCTGAGCTTGTGTTTCCTTAACTGACTATTCCAGAGTTGTTTTGTAGCCGTGAGTTATATATAGTTGTATGATAGAACAGTTACACACACACATATATATATATCCAGCTCCCAGGCTCGTGCTGGGGACACACAACCACAGGGATGGAATCCTTTGGCTTGGGAGGGACCTCAAAGCCCACCCAGTTCCACCCCCTGCCATGGGCAGGGACACCTTCCACTGGAAGAAAATAAAATTCCAGCAAACAAACAAACAGAGGAGCAAACAAATCCCTCGGCTCTCTGTACATCACAGATTCCCAGCTGACACGGGGAGGGTGTTTCCTGAGGCTTTGGCTGATTGCAGCTCCCAGGGGGAGGCTGGAAGTGGCATCCAGGCTTTTTGAGCGGGATGAGGGAGCGGGGTAGCAGACAGACATGTCTGGGTGTTGATAATCTTCCTGCAATCAGAACACATGGAGGACTGGGAGACGTGAGGTCGCTCAGAAAGTCAATCCCACAGGATTCAAACACTGGGCTGAGTCACAACAGCCCGTTGTTATCATTAACAGTAATTAGCAGGAATAAAACAGCACTTGGGGACAGATTGTGCAGTTGCCTTGGGGCTGAGCAGATTTTGCCCACAGATTTTGGGTTAAATTTCGTTGTAATTGGTGCTTTTATTCCCACTTTCTCCACCACTGAGGGCCAGGGCCCTGAACACCTGCAGCTGCCCCACCTGTTTTGTGCAATATCCAGCACCACAGTGACCAGCCCCTGCATCATTCACAAATTTAGGAAAAATGCTTCTCCCACTGTCCACACCCCCATGGCCACCACCTGCTGCTGGTCCCCCCCTGGTGAACCCCACTGTGTGCAGAGCAGAACCCAAATGGGTCAGCATCAGACCCCCAGAGAGCTGCACGTGGCCAGATGTGACTCCACAGTCGAGGTGGGAGCTGGATCAGAGCTGGGGGGTCTGTCCTGGTGGCACGTGTGGGTGGGCAGAGGCTCACAGGGGGTGTTGGGGTCCCACAGCTCAGAAAGGCAATGAGAACAACGTTAAAAACTCGTCACCTGGTGCCAACTGGAGCAAATGCAAAGACTTGGGCAATAAAATTCCACTTGAGGGGTGTGAACTCTCATCATGGTCTTTAAGGTCACTCCCAACCCAAACCATTCCATGATTCCACTACTCTGTGTGTGCCATTTTCATGGCCAGATGCAGTTTTGTGCATCACATGCCCAAGATGTTATTAATTAGGAGAAATGCCCATACCCTGAGTGATGACACCACATTAATATTCGAACCAAACATCATTTCCTCTATTGATTTTCCCCTTGCAAAAACATCTAGTGGAGAACAAGGCTGTGCCTGCTGTCTTTGCTAAAAAAAGAATTAATAAATGCCTCAATAAGGTCTCCAGTGCTGCAGCAGAGTGCTGGATATCCACTGCTCCTGTGCCAGGGAGAGCAGCAATTTCCATCAGTAATTAGGGAGCAGAGCTGCAGGGATCCCAGGGACCAGGCAGGGGTTATCAGGGAGAACAGTTGTTCTTGGGGGCACAAAGGAGAGTTAAAGTTTAACCAGTAGAGCAAAAGCAGCTTTCAGAGATCAGCAGTTTCAGGGACCAGGTCTGTGGGTTGCAGAGGAGCTGACAGGGGAGGGAGGTCCCTGAGGTGGGTTCCTGCTGGATGAATCATCTCAGACACACTGGATAAGCTGTGAGACCCACCGTGAGACAGGTTTGCCAAAGGTCTGTCCTGGGTTCCAGGCACAAATGTAAAGGCACATCATAGAATCCTGGAATCATGGAATCCTGGAATCAGAGAATCATGGAGTGGTTTGGGTTGGGAGGGACCTCAAAGCCCACCCAGTGCCACCCCCTGCCATGGGCAGGGACACCTTCCACCAGCCCAGGTTGCTCCAAGCCCCGTCCAACCTGGCCTTGGACACTTCCAGGGATCCAGGGGCAGCCACAGCTTCTCTGGGCAACCTGGGCCAGGGCCTCCCCACACTCACAGCCAGGAATTCCTTCCCAATATCCCATCTCTCCCTGCCCTCTGGCAGCGGGAAGCCATTCCCCCTTGTTCTGTAAATAACCTCTCTCCATCTTGGAGGTCTTTTCCAGCTTTAATGATTCCATGATTGGGGTCACAGAGGTGACACTCTTCATACACCCCCTCCCTGGGTCCCCGTGGGGCTCCAGCCAGGAGCAGCAGAGTGACAAATGGGATGACAAATGTACCAAACTGCCGTGGTTTGGGGTGGGACTCCCCCGTGGGAGCTGCCTGGGGCATCCCTGAGGTTCTGGGGTGGGACGGAGCTCCTGCAGCCCCTGGAGCTGCCCCAGCGCCTTCTCTCGGGCTCGGGGTGGGGGGGGATGGCCATGGACACACGGGTGGTGATGTGACCTCCAGCCACCCCTACAGAGGTGACACAGGACCTGCTGCCAGGGCTGGCCCTGCTCTGCTGCCTCTGTGGGTGCTCAGGCACTGCTGCTCCTGCCCTGCAGGCACCAATGCACCGAGTGTGTCCGTCCTCTGCGCCCGGCCCGAGGGCTCTGTGGGGGCATGGAAGGAAAATCCAACATTAACAAAGAGTGGGAGTGATCAGCGCTTGTGTGGGATGGAAATCAATTAAAGGATGGAGGAAGTCAGATCTCAATTAAAGGATGGAGGAAGTCAGATCTGGGTACCCAAATAAAGCACTAAATCAGGACTTGGGGCTGAGATAAACCCAGATGGACTGACTGCAGCCAGGTATTTTCCCAGGCTCTGGGTGAATTTGGCACAGGGCAACCTGCATGATGGATTTGTGGTCTCCAAAGAGGAGAGGTGTCCTCTCCTTGGTTATCTGGGGAGTTCCCACCGCCAGGCTGAGGCCGGGGGGCTCTGGGGGTGACAGGGACTGGAGCACCCCGGACCTGCATTTGCATCCCAACCGCATCTCCTGCATCCGCAACCCGCATCCACATCGGTATCCTGCATCCACAACCCACATCCCGCGTCCTACATCGGCATCCCACATCCGCATCCCGCATCCCACATCCGCATCCCGCACTCCACATCGGCATCCCGCATCCTTACATCGGCATCCCGCATCCCACATCCACATCCCGCATCTCGCATTCCACATCCACATCCCGCATCCCACATCCGCATCCCGCATCCCACATCTGCATCCCGCACTCCACATCGGCATCCCACACTCCACATCGGCATCCCACATCCACATCTCGCATCCCACATCTGCATCCCGCATTCCACATCCGCATCCCGCATCCCTCATCTGCATCCCGCACTCCACATCGGCATCCCGCATCCCCGTCCCGCTCCCCGCAGCCTCCCCCGGGTCCCGCCGCAGCCCCGGCAGAGGGAAGCATCGAGCCGCTCTCCGCGCCCGCGGGGCCCGGCCCGGGCTGGGCAGGGACGGGAAAGGGGAGGGGGCACTGCGGGATCGATCACGGCTCCACATCTCCCCGCTCAGGGGGGGAGGCGACCCCCGGCCCCGGCCGCGCGGGTGCCCTCGGGGCTCCCCACTTGCCCCCGGGGCTCCCCGGTGGCTCCGGGCCGGCTCAGAGAACCTGCCGAGCACCGACACGGGAGCTGCTGCTGCTCCAGGAGCTCGGCCCGGTCTGTCCATCCCAGCCTGGCCACCCGCGGGGCTCTGGGAAGGGGTCTGAGCACGGGGAAAACCCGCGGCGGTGCTTCTGGACACCAGAGAGCCCGGGGGCTCCCCAGCCGGAGGCTGCTTTGGGATCCGGGGGTGACTCCCGTGGATTTAATGAGAATTTAATTGTCTCACTGATTTCCGTGCCTCCCACAGCGTGTCCCAGAGCTCGTCCCTGAGGGAGGGGGGCTGAGGAGAGCTCTGAGGGGGAGGACAGGAGGACCCACCCTGGGCAAGGCTCTGCCAGGAGCTCTCGGGCAGAGGTTCTCTGAGATGTGGCACTTGGGGACATGGATTAGTGGTGGCCTTGGCAGTGCAGGGGGTTGGAATGAGGCCGTCTTTAAGGTCCCTCCCAACCCAAAGCAGTCTGTGATTCTGTGATTCCAAGCCTGAACAAGCCAGTGTGAGGAGGCTGAGCTGCAGTTCCCTGTGGAAGCTCCAGCAGCCTAATTAGTGCCTGCTAATTGTGGAATGACAGTTGTTTGCAGAGAGCTGGTGGTGCAGCCCCAGCCAGGCAAAATGCTCCAGGTGAAGCAGATTGAAACCAGGGAGGAAAACACTTGGGATTTAGAGGGAAACAACCCCTTTGGCTGAGCCCAAAAGCAGTCCCTTCGCAGACCCAGGAGCCACTTCTACTGTCAACCCCTGTTTGGGGACACCAGCCCAGCTGTGGAGGGTGACCCTGCCAGACCCAGACCCAGCACAGACCCAGACCCAGACCCAGCCCCAGACCCCTCACCTCCTGCTCACCCTCCTCCTCCACCTCAGCCACAATGGCCCGAGTCTGCCTGGCTGGTGACCAGCCTGGACTCCCTGGGGCCACACGTGGTCCTGGGTGGCCAAAGGACAGGCACAGAGAGCAGGGCCTGCCCTGTGCCCACTCCCACACCAGCCCTGCTCAGGTGGGCATGGCCAGCACCCCCAGCCCTGTTCCTCCTCCTCAGGGGATGGTCAGGACAGCACACGACCCTCACCCCCTTGGTTCAGTTCCCTCTTGTGTCCGTGAGTCCCTCGGACCCCAGAGCAGACCATGAGTCTCTCCAGACCCATGTCCAGACCCTGGGCCCTGTTTGGCCACTTTCCAGCTCCAGAACTGGGGCTTGCAAGGCTCTGATCTCCTCCCAGTCATCAGTCAGGCCAGTTGTTCCATGGACTGACCTGGACCTGCTCAAAGCTGCCCACTTTAATGTGTGGGAAGCTTCTCTAGTCCTTGAGGAACTCTTTAACAACCATCCCCCACATCACACAGAGGGGAAGGAGGAGGAATAAGTCCCGTTCAGGCACCAGCATCTGACAGGACCAGTTAAACCAGCACAATTCCAGTTCAGCCTCCACCCTGAGAGGCAGGAACTGTCAGGGTTAATTTTTGATTGCCCTGAATTTCTGCTGTGCCCCATCTCTTCCTCCCAAGCTCTGCCCGTGCTGGATGCTGGGGGGGGGGGAACTGGGGCACTGCCTTATCTCAGCCACCTTTTGTGCCACCAGGCAGCAGCTCCCCAGTTTCCCACCGTGGCACGTGCTGGGGCAGGGCAGAGTCACTGCTGAGAGGGGCAGGACACGAGCTGGGGCTGGGCTGGCACAATCACAGGGGCACAGAATCGGGAACTGGCTTTGGGAGCAGAGAGGGACTGAGCTGGGCAGGGAGGGAGGGGGTTCCCTGGGGCAGCGTGGCTGTGGCAGTGCAGAGTGAGGGGTTTGTGGGGCAGGGGTTTGTGGGGTGCTGGGTGCAGGTGCTTTCCACCCCTGGCTGGTGTGCAAACGGGAGTGCAAAGCCCCGGGGAGCAGCTGGGCTGTGGCACCCAACCTGGGTTGTATTTCTGGGAATGGCTTTGGATTAAGCCTCGGATTAGCACCAAACCCAAAGCCTGGCTGGAAAACCCACACCCGGGCCGGGGATGGGTTTGGGGCAGCCAGATCCCAGCACCTCCCTGGGAAATGCCAGTCCCCGAGGGGATCAGGGAGCGCTGGTACCGCCGGGCACCCCGCGGGTGCCTCAGTGTCCCCTTTCCCCCCGCCCCGCTCCGGCCGCGCCCGTGGCGCTTCCCCGACACCAGAGGGAGCTGGAACCTTCCCCCGGCTCCGGGTTCGTCCCTGCCTGGAGAAAGGTTGGAAAAAGCGGGTTTGCTGCCACTTGCGTCAGTCTCAAGAGCTGTTGGTCCTTTTCTGTCACCCCAAGGTCTGTCGGTCCTTTTGCCTCATCCCAAGGGTCTGTCGGTCCCTTTGCATCCCCCGAGGGTCTGTGGTCCCCTGGGCATGAACCAAGACAGAGGCTGCCCCGGGGAGCTGCCACATTCCAAACAGGAAGGGAAAGGCACTTCCCAGAGTAGGGATGGTGCCACTGGATCCTCACCCGGTGCCCGTTTGGAAGGGGCTCCTGAGGACTGCAAGTTCCTCGGATGGCAGGGGTGCCAGGGTACATCTTGTGCCCCAGGAGCTCAGGCTGGATGGCTTCATGCTTCCCAACACAAACTGTTTTTCCCCATGGATCATCCCAAACCACAGTTACCCAAAAGCTCCTCAATCCCCGTGGGACAGGCCAGGTTTGGAGCATGGGAGGAGGTTGCCCAGAGCAGAACCAGCTCAGCACCCACCCCCTGGCACTGGGCTGGGTTGATCGAGAGGGCATCACACCCCCACCCCCAAAGTGGCTGGGCATCAATATCCAGCTGGAATGTGAATGGAAGTGTCCAAGGCCAGGTTGGATGGGGCTTGGAGCAACCTGGGCTGGTGGAAGGTGTCCCTGCCCATGGCAGGGGGTGGCACTGGATGGGCTTTGAGGTCCCTTCCTACCCAAACTGTTCTGGGGTTTCACGATTCCAAGATTCCAATTACAGAATTCTAATAATTGTAAAGGAATTCTATTAATTCTTAGGAAGATTCTATCTTGTTGTGCCCCTGGGGCAGGAGCAGAGCATGGCACAGCAAACACAGGCTCACAGAATGTGCTGAGTTGGAAGGGACCCACCAGGAGGGGGGATCCTGCCTGCCACGAGCATTTCATGGCACTTTGGGAGTGCAGCCACTTTGTGCCTCAGTTTCCCCCAGGGACCTCTGCCTGTGGGCAGGGCGAGGGGTGCAGGGGAGCCAGGAGAGCAGATCCCCTCGGAGCTGTTCTCTGGGACAGGGACAGGGTGTGAGCAGCTGGGACATTTCATCCCTTTCCCACTGGGGAAAATAAATAATCAATAAAGGAACCTGGCAGCTCTCCCGAGGCTGCCACCGCCTCAGCAGGAACATCTGCTGAGTCAGAATCTGACACAGCAGAACGGGGCACGGGCCCGGGGCCGGGGGTGCCTTATCGCTGCCCCCCGGCCCCTGTTTGTGCCTCCCGTTATCGCCCCGGCACAGCCCCGGGCCCCGCACCGTGACTCAGCACTGCCCCCCCCCGGCCTCTGCAAACTCATCACACCCAGGGAGGGGTGGGACAGCCCATAAACATCCCACTGCAGAGAACGGGCTCGAGCCTGGGGCTGGGAGCGAAGTGAGACCCCCTAACTCTGACCCTGACCCTGATCCCAAACCTGACCCAACATCCCACTGCAGAGAACAGGCTCGAGCCTGGAGCTGGGAGTGAAATGAGACCCCCTAATCCTGACTCTAATCCTGACCCTGATCCAACATCCCACTGCAGAGAACGGGCTCGAGCCTGGAGCTGGGAGTGAAGTGAGACTCCCTAACCCTGACCCTAATCCTAACCCTGATCCTAACCCTGACCCAACATCCCATTGCAGAAAACAGGCTTGAGCCTGGAACTTGAAATGAGACCCCCTAACCCTGACTCTCACCCTAATCCTTACCCTGACCTTAAAATTGCCCCTGCCCCTGCCATTGCCTCAGGTGCCTGGTGCAAACTCATCACATGCAATTTTGTGACGGGAGAGCCTACAAACATCCCACTGCAGAGAAGGAGTTTGAGTCCTGGGCATGGAATTGAGACCCTCTAACTCGAACCCTAAACCTAAGCCTAGTCCTGACCCTGACCCTGATCCTAACCGTGACTCAACATCCCACTGCAGAGAACAGGCTTGAGTCCTGGACATGGGAGTGGGATCACCTAAATGTAACCCTGACCCCAACCCTGACCCTGCTCTCAGAGCTCCCTTTCTGCCAGTGTGTCTGAAGAGGATGCTCAAAACCAAGTGTCCCCTCAGATGGGGTGTAATGGGGTCTGTGGGCTGTGCCCTGACCCCGTCCCAGCTCAGCCCCACAGAGACACCGGGTTTGGGGTTCCCTGATCCTACCCAGTGCTGGGCAGAGCTGAGCAGAGTGAGTGATGAACTTAGGGCCAGTCCCTCATTCACCCCCAAGTCCTGGGACCATGGAGGTGCTGGGATGAGCCCCAGGGTCTCTGTCCAGGCTGTGGAGGCTCTGCCAAAGGCGGGACCCCAAAGTCGGGGTTCGGTGCCTTGCTTGGGGCAGGGGCTGCTCTCCCATCTGAGAGGTGCAGGGTGCAGGCAGCCCCCAAACAGCTGTTCAACCTCTGCAGAGGGGCTGCTCCGAGTGCCACCCCACCTTCAGAGCCAGTTCTGCTGCTGGAACAGGTTCCAGGCTGGGGTCAGGTGGGGAGGCAGGTCAGGTCTGCCCTCCTAAACCAGCCCCAGCACAGGAACAGGCCTGGCTCTGTCCATTGCCAGCTGGACAGTCTGGAAAGGCAGAACATGACCCACAAAACGTGTTCCTGACCCAGCAGGTCCCAGGCCACAAGCAGGATGAGGACAGTCCTTGTCTGAGCTCAGCAAAGCCCTCGGTCCCACTGGAGCCGTCCCTGTGCACGGGGAACCTTTGTTATCCCGGGGCTGTGAGGGCTGGGACAGCTCTCCTGGTTCCCAGCCAGTGCTGGGGGATTTTGGGGGGGTTGTGTGGTTAAAGGAATCCTCTGCAGAGCAGTGACAGGCAGGGCCAGCTCGACCTGCAGCAGGAGTGGTGCTGGGAGGACTGGCCGGGTCCCTTGGAGCCAACCCGTGCCTGGGAAAACGGAGACTGGAGCCTGGTTGTGGGGTTTGCCTGCTCTCCTCTCTGTGCTGCCAGCACAGCTACAATCGAGCATCCTCGGGATGCTTTTCCTGCAGCACAACTCAGCTCAGCCTGCCCCGGGAGCCCGGGGGTCCCCCCGTGGGGAGGGGGAGAGGGAAGGGCTCAATGAGGAATCTGCTCCCAGCACTGGATGAGCTTTATGGTCCCTCCCAACCCAAACCAGTGTGTGATTCCATGATTCCAGCACACCGGTGTGACTGGATGTGAGGACGGGGGTCCATCCGTGGGTCTGTCCGTGCTCGGGGGGCAGCAGGGCCGGGCTCAGCCCCCCCCGTTCCCATTTCCCCAGCGCAGCAAACAGCCCGTCCCAGCGCTGGGTTTATCTCGGGCCGCAGGAGGGGGCGCGGGGCTATCGGGAGGGGCTGTCGGGGAGGGGATATCGGGCCGGGCTCGCAGGGCGGGGGTGCCCGGCCCTGCCCGAGGGCGATACAGGGGAGCCGGGCTCGGCCGGGGCCGATAGCTCGGGGTCCTGCCGGGAATGGGACCCAGCCCGAGCGCTGCGGGGCCGGGGCAGCCCCGACGGGTGTGAATGCTGTGCCGTGATGCTGTTTGACACCTGATCCCAGCCGGGCAGCCCCGACGGGTGTAAATGCTGTGCTGTGACTCTGTTTGTCACCTGGCCACGGCCGGGAAACCCCGACATGTGTAAATGCTGTGCCCTGATGCTGTTTGCCACCTGGTCACGGCCGGGAAACCCCACCTGGCTCCCTCAGCAACGCTGCTCTTGCCCTCCCTTCCTTCCCCCACCAACCGTGTCCCCCCCCCGATGTCCCCTCCGATGTCCCGTGGGCTCCTCTGCAGCCCCCAGGGCTGAGGGTCTGGGGGAAGCTCCTCTTGCCAGGAGCCCGTGTCCCTCCCGTGCTGAGGGGATGGAACCCCAGTGAGGGCTAAGAGCAAACCAGGGAGGAAAACCCCTGCCCACAGTGAGCCTGGAGGCGGCTTGTCTGGAACGAAAAAACTGCTTCTTTTGCCTGTTTCTGGGTGGTTTTCCTGAGGGATAACTCAGAAGCTGTCTAATTAAATTCCAGCTTTTCCCTGGACACCCTGGCTCTCGTGTCTGACCTTGTGCCTCTTATGCCTTCACTCCACTCAGCACTGGACCCCAGAGCCCCCAGCACTGACTTTAGGGCTGAGCACACCCCGGTGGATCCCTTTGCAGGGATACAGGGACAGATGAGCAGGGTCAGGGCATGTCTCCTGTTGTGCCCAGGAGGTCCTTGGGGCATTTTTTCTGCATCCAGCCCCCAACCCCCAGCAGTGTCACCCAGGACTCACATTTCAGACCCAGGAGATTTCCTATAAAATTAAAATAACCCAGTGAAAGGCTCTAAGTCAGTTAAAACATGTTTGTGTCAGAAGTGAGGCATGTGCTGGGATCCTTGGGGTGGTCTTGTGCAGGGCCAGGAGTTGGACACAATGGTCCTTGTGGGTCCTTTTTTGGGAAGAATTTCATACAGAGGGTGTTCAGGCCTTGGCAGGGGCTGCCCAGGGAGGTTTGGAGTGCCCAGCCCTGGAGGTGTCCCAGGAAGGCCTGGCCGTGGCACTCAGTGCTCTGGGCTGGGGGACAAGGTGGGGATGGGGCACAGGGGGGATCCATGGGCTGGGAGGGCTTTTCCAGCCTCAGGGATCCTGGGATTCTGTGATTCTGCCCCTTCCAGCCGAGGATATTCCATGATTCTATGATCACATGGCACAAAATGCAGGCTGGAGCACCAGAGCAAGGGGTGCTCCACACCTCTTGGGGTCAGACCTGAAGGGTACCAAGGGTTAAACCTGGATCCTGAAATGAGAGAACTTCATCAGGGGCAGAGAGGATTAATTTGACCTGCAGTGAGGTTTTCACTGAGTTTGTTGTTGCAGCAGAGATTGGGTTTGCAGTGTCTGTGTGTTGGGAGCAGAGTGCCTGGGGCCATGTGAGATAACTCCCCCTGAGGTGATGACATCCAGCTCTGTGGTGTAAAGCCCCAGCCTGCCCCAGCCTCCACCACAGAGCCCCCACACCTCTCCTGTCCATGGTGTCTCCCAGTTTCCCTGTCCCTTCTAAGGAAAAAAATTGCATTTTCAGAAATTCTTGGCTTCCATGTTCGGGTGAGAAACCAACCAGTCCCAGCCAGGGAACCTGTTCAAACTGTGCTGATTCAGCCCCACTTGCTGTTTAATTTCCCTGGGTTTGTCACTGACCACATCCTGAGCTGAGCAGCTCCTCTGCCCCTTCCCTACAGCCTGGGAGCATCTGGCTTTGCTCTGCTCCCAAATTTAGGGTTCATGGAATCCCAGGCTGGTTTGGGTTGCAGGGACCTCAAAGCCCATCCAGTGCCACCCCCTGCCATGGGCAGGGACACCTTCCACTAGCCCAGGTTGCTCCAAGCCCCGTCCAACCTGGCCTTGGACACTTCCAGGGATCCAGGGGCAGCCACAGCTTCTCTGGGCAACCTGGGCCAGGGCCTGCCTCCCAGTCCAGGAATTCCTTCCCAATATCCCATCTATCCCTGCCCTCTGGCAGTGGGAAGCCATTCCCTGTGTCCTGTCCCTCTAGGCCCTTGTTCAAAGCCTCTCTCCAGTTTTTCCAGGGGTTCCTGATATCCCCTTTTGCCCCCATTGTGGAGCCCCCTTGCATTAGCAGTGTGGTGGGGGGAAACCAGCTCTGGCCTTCCAGTTAACCCAAGGCACCAGTTCTAGGCTGGTCCCAGCCCAATGGGCCAGTGGGGAGCAGTGGGGCAGGACTGGCTGAAGCTGATGCACAAATTTCCAGCCCCAGTGGCTGTAAAAGGCTGTTGCCAGGACGGGCTCTCCCCAGCCAGAGCCCACAAGCCTCTGCTGTGACCCTGATCCGATTAACTGGCTGATTCACTGCTGTTATTGCTCTTCTATTGAGCCCATCCGATGGGATTAGAGAGGTTAAACACTTGCTGTGGGGATAAAACCAGCCATTAAAGGGATCAATACAGGCCAGCAGCACCAGGGGCTTATCTCCATGAAAACAACTCCAGCCTCTCTTCCTCCCCTTTCCTCTGCCTTCCCCCTTTCCCCTTCCCTCAGCTCTTTGGGACCATCATTAACCACCCCATGAAAAGCCATCCTGCCCCCTCACCAGTGAAACCAGACCCTGATGGGTCAGTGTGGGGCCAGGCCTGGATGTTTCTCAACATCTCTGCCTGTTTTCCACAGAGTCCAGAAAACCAGCTTTTATGAACCACATTTTGTAAAATAGTATTAAAGCTGCCATTAACACTTTCCTCCAGCCCCTGTGTTTGATGTTGTCCTGCCTGTTGTCCTGCTCTCCCCCACTGAGCTTTTCCCTGCTGCTGGTTCATGTGCAGCAGAAAAGCATCATTATCTCTTCCCTTTTAAAGTTCAGCCTTGCAGAGCAGGAAATGAATCTCCCATCACAGACGAGGTGAGTGCATTGCTGAGAACAGCCCCAGATGTGGTTTTTTAATTTCAGAGCCAGGGAATTCGGGCTGCAGGGAAGAAATAAATGCAGGGGCCATCAAGGCTGTTTATTGTCACCCCCACTGCTGGTCAGCGCTGCCCGGCTCACACGGGGGGAACATTTAGGGCTGCACATGTTCCATCCCACTCTTTGGAGATCTGCATTATGAAATTACACAACTTCTGAAGCCTCCAGGTCTCCTTGGAGCCGAGGGTGTGTCGTGACTCTGCTCTGGGGGTGAGGAGCTGGAGGCAGCTCTGGCCACCCGCTCGATCCCTTTATCTGCCACCAGCAGCCCCCACTCCTGCCGTGTTATCAGGGCACACCGGGGGCTCCTGGGCTGTGAGAGGGGCCTGGGGGCCTCTGCCAGCATCAGAAAATGTGAAAAAATTAATAAAGCCCCATGGGACCCCGTGGTGAGGAGCTAAAAGGTGACCCTGGATGTGAATCCCCAGCTGGAGCAGTGATGGGCCTGTGCCAGCTCCGATGAGATCCCAGAGCCTCAGACTGGGGTGGGTGGGAAGGGACTTTAAAGCTCATCCAGTTCCACCCCCTGCCATGGGCAAGGACACCTTCCACCAGATCAGGCCTTGGACACTTCCAGGGATCCAGGGGCAGCCACAGCTTCTCTGGGCAACCTGTGCCAGGGCCTCCCCACCCTCCCAGGGAAGGATTCCTTCCCAATATCCCACCTAACCCTGCCCTCTGGCAGTGGGAAGCCATTCCCCCTTGTCCTGGCCCCCCAGACCCTTGTCCAAAGTCCCTCTCCAACCTTCTTAGATCAATGGACCAGTATTGATCTGTAACTAGAATGTCTCAAGAGGTCTGGATGACACCTGAACTCCCCACAGGCAGTCCCAAAGTTTGAATAAAATCACAGAATCATGGAATGGTTTGGGCTGGAAAGGTACCATGAACATCATCCAATTCCAATCCCCTGCCTTGGTCAGGGACACCTTCCACTGGACCAGGCTGCTCCAAGCCCCATCCAACCTGGCCTGGAGCACTTGCAGGGTCCATGGTTTTGTCTGGATGTCCCACACCTCATTCATCCCTTCTTTGCTCTCTGAGCACGGGAGCAAAGCTTCACCTGCAGCCTGGAAACCAGGAAAACACCTGGGACACCCAGAGCCAGCCCAAAGCCTTTGGCCAGCCCTGGACCTGGTGGAAACGGGTGTTGCTGGTCTGGCTGTGACACGACAGGTCCTGCTTCAGGGAAGACTTTTAATTCCCAGCAGTGAAGGGTTCACACTGGATGCACATGGAAAGAGCAGAGGAGCCTGTTCCCACCCCCAGCCTGCCCTGACATCCCACACAGGCATTCCTGGAAACCTGGAGCTGAGCAGGTGACTTCTCCTTCACTAACACCATCCCTGAGAGTGTCCCAGGCCAGGCTGGATGGGGCTTGGAGCAACCTGGGCTGGTGGAAGGTGTCCCTGCCCATGGCAGGGGGTGGGACCAGATGGGCTTCAATGTCCCTCTCGACCCAAAACATTCCATAATCCCAAAGCACCTCCCTGTGGGTCCGTGCCTGCTGTGGGGATGGGGTGGCACGTCCAGCCTGTGGTCAGCAGGCTGTGGTCAGCGGGCTGTGGTCAGCGGGCTGTGGTCAGCAGGCTGTGGTCAGCGGGCCGTGGTCAGCGGGCCGTGGTCAGCAGGCAGCCCCAGGGGAAGGAGAGGGAGATAAGGTGTCCCGTGTCCTGAGCAGGCCTGTTAAGGACTCCCAGGGCTCTTTCCTCGAAGGCCACACCTCGCTGCAGACTGACCCCTGCCCGGCCAGCCCGGCCCCACAGGACCCCCCTCCCACCCCGTGGCCCCTCGGGAAGGGCCGGGGAGGGGCTGCATCAGGGGATAAAAGGCCCGTTGGGGTCTGGGC